CCCACACCCACCCACACCCACCCACACCCACCCACACCCACACCCAGCTGCATTTTGGTGAATGGCGTACCATTTCACAATTTCAGTTTTTTCACGTAACGACAAACGAAAACTTTTACTCAGGGTGAAGAAAATGTGAAAAAAGTTAGAGTTATACAAACAACAGAAGATGTAAAGAGAAACAAAAAATAAACCAGTCGATAAAAGAGATAACCACTAGTATTGTTGTCTTCTAGATGCCACTCCTCACACATATAAGTACTATAAGAGAACAAACAATAATATTCGCTTTCTTTTTTTTACATACACTATATTTGTATGCTCTTGGATCAATTACTACATCTACATATCGTTCATATGCTCAATCTTTTATTTATCACACCTAGTATATGTGGTATAAATATCAGGCCTAAGCAACAATCTATAAGATAGAAATCGAAAAAAAAAAATACTATTTTTCCTTACTTTTGGGCCACCCGGTATGTGAGTTCCACATTTCAGCTCCAAAGGAGCTGCGCTAACAAGCTTTTTTATTCATATCCAAAACAAACCATATTACATTGGTATACTTGTAATATATTCCAGTGGGCCGTTTTAAAGCACGTAATAAATGAAAGTAGCTAACGCCATCTGACATGCTGGTTAATATAAAAATGTTCTGTTCAATGATAATGCAAGTGGCAACGCAGTTTTTACAAAACTGAAAAACTTTACAAATCGCGAAAATTTCCCCGAAAATATGGTAGTAGGGTCAAAGTTTCATGTGATAACTCTTTGAAAATCTGGTCATTTTCCAAAAAGCCATATATATTCGGAAAGAGGAAGCTTTGCTGCATCTTCCTATGATAAAAACTCAACTTCAATATTTTTTGAAAAATTCGATTTTCTAAGGGAGTGGTGGGGGCCCTTAAGGAAACCTCCATAGTATAGGACTTGACGTCTTAAGGAAGCGCTCATTATATAGGACTTGAGGTTGAGGACCTCCTCTATATAGGATGTGAGGACCTAAAGTTACCCCCCTAATATAGGACTTGAAGACCCTGAGTACAGTTAAGAGAAATATTCCATTAGTCTTAATATTAAACCCAAACAGTTTGGGTTTATTGCATGCCTACTTCTTTCTCTCTTATTCTCTCTCTGTTTTCTCGTTGCATATTTTTCTTCTTTAATTTGCTGGCACACTCATACATGCACATACTGCTTCTTTGTTTTCTTTCTGGTCTTCTCTTCATATGTGCTTATAATTCCATTCAATATGAATAAATGCGCATAATGCCATTAGTTCCATTAGTGTTGTTTTTTTCTCGAAAAAACTGTGAACGAAAAAGTGAAAAAAATACCATGCTGTCGTTTGAAAAAGTTGAAGTGCAAAGGTACTTTTGTTTCAATTATAGTTAAAAGGCTTTCAACAGCACTACTTTATGATCATATCCAAATGCTGCCCACTTTCCTTCAGATAGACAATGATCTATACGATCCACACTATAATCCCTTAGTCGAAGTGAGTGTTCTGAAACTGTTTTCTGTTAACACCTGCATGTCTTCATCTGTATACTGTTTAGAACCAGTCATCATCAGTTATCAAATTAGTGGATTTAAAGACTGTACCTACTGCTCGAGAGGAGACCTTCACATCATCGAAATTTAGAATAACTATACTAATTGGTTGCATCATAATTGTGATGCTCGCAATTGCTATAGCAGTACCTTTTCTATGGATAATTATATCGACATCATCTACCAGTACTACAAGTACCACAACCAGTACCAGTACTACAAGTACTACAACCAGTACAAGTACCACAAGCAGTACCAGTAGTACAAGTAGTACAAGTAGCACAAGTACTACAAGCAGTACAAGTACCACAAGTAGTACCAGTAGTACAAGTAGTACAAGTAGTACAAGTAGCACAAGTACTACAAGCAGAACAAGTACCACAAGTAGTACCAGTAGTACAAGTAGTACAAGTAGCACAACTACTACAAGTAAGTGATGTGCAACAATAGTAACGTGTATCTTTATTTTCTATTTTTTAGCTATTATATGTCAAAATGGGTACGTCTTTTTCTTGATGCTTTCTAGTCCTTTTTTTTACCTATATGCAAAAAAAACCCATCTCCCCTTAACTTTTCTTTGTAGAGGTACCCCACTTTGGAATGGTTCATGTGCATGTAATAACTATACAACGGGCACCTATTGTCAAACGCCACTCTGCCTTGTTGCCGGTTCCTTTTCGACGACCTGCTCACACAGTGGTACCTGCATCTACAATGCATCGACAAGTACGAGTACTTGTTCATGTCCTTCGAGCACTTGGACAGGTATGTATGTGTGTCTTGAAGATACAGAAGACTTGAACTTTTTAATTATTGCAAATGATTGTTTATCTTTGTAGGAAGTTATTGTCAAACTCGTAAGTTTATATCTGATTAATAGAGTGCAGTCAGATGAACCATTTCTTCTTTCCGTATGTATTTTTTTAGCTCTATGTCCCAATTGTAATAATAACTGTGGGCATGGCTATTGTAATTCACCGTCGAGTTGTTATTGCAGTAGTGGTTATCAAGGAACATGCTGTAACTCAGCTATTACAAGTGGTCAATGTCTGTCTCTCAGCCCCGCGAGTACAACCTCTTGGGGTGAGCAGATGGCTAAAAGCTATCTCAACTATTATTTATTTGACGAAAATTATCAGCTTTTCTTTTTATAGGCAATGGATTTAACAACACTTTCTATGGTCACGAACATGATGTGGTTAATGTTTCCTGCTCAGCGGGAAAAAGTCTTACAGTTGCTGCATGTTTTTATGGTATTAATAGTGCTAATCCTGGATGTGGTGGATCGACAGTCTCGGCAAATTGTAACTCTATGGATGTTTCTTCAACATGTAGGACACTATGTAATTCGAATTATTGCTATTTTGCAATTGAAAATACAAATTTTGGCGATACATGCTATGGTCTACTAAAAATATTCTGGATGTATTTTACATGTGCATAATTCGGGAGAGACATATCAATGCTTTTGTATTTTTTTAAAGTTTATTTGTGTGCTAACTCAAAGTCTACAGCAAACTGAAAGCGGGTATACAAACGATGCGCACGAGCTTGCGCATGCTGCTTGAAAACAAACCGAACTCTTTCAACCACATCTTCACCCTCACCTACCCTCGCCCTCACCCTCATCCAAACCTGCGCCCTTACCCACATTTCGTACCCTCATCAGTAGGGTGTGGGTGTGGGTTGGTGTGGGTGTGAGCGGAAATGCGCATGGTTCTTCTCTTCATCCATACCCACACCCCACCCACTCATACTCCACCCAACCACACCCACACCCACACCCACACCCGCACTCCACCCACCCACACCCACACCCACACCCACACCC